ATTTTTTTAGGCAGTGGAGGGTATAAAAAAAGGCTGGAGGGTATACAAATTCGGTTCGGCCGAGCTTAGTTTACGTGCTATTTTTATAGAAGACATTTGTTAGATCTTTAGCAACTCTAAGATAACCTTCAGCAGTTTCTACAAAAGAAGATAATTTCTAAAGCTTTAGAGTAAAATTTTACGTTGTTCTTCTGTAGGCATACTTTTTTCAGGTATTCCCCATTCTAATAGCGTTATATTATGTTTACATTGTACTGGATTTATCAAATGGTTTTAAATCTCAATTTAATTTTAAATCTTTAAGGAGCTTAAATCTTAAAGGAGCTTTATTCTCGAACAATGCCCGTCTGTTGCAATCACGCTAGAGTCAAAACGAATTAGGATATGAAGCTAAAATTTTGAACAGATCTGTCCTTTGGCTGTCGTATATCCCCTATATAACGGCACCTCACGATTTTCGATATTTCGATGATTTTAACCACATTTTTCAATGGAATTGTCTGAAAAAAGAAGTTCCTTGTGGATACTTTATCCCCTAGAAGAGAATTGTCTATATAGGTCCAAGATATCGTATAACCCCCCAATTAACTGCACATCCCAATCTTCGGTATTTCGATAATTTTAGCCACATTTTTCAATGGAATTGTCTAAAAATTCACACTAGAAGTTCCTTGTGAGTACTTTATCGTCCGGAATAGAATTATTTATATAGATCCCCGATATCGTATATCCCCCATGATTTTAGTCACATTTTTCATTAGAATTGTCTGAAAATCCACACGAGATAATTGCCTTAAAATCCACAAAAGGAGTTCCTTGTGAATACTTTACCCCCAAGAAGAGAATTGTGTACATAGGTCCACGTTTTATTATAGCGCCCATATAACGGTACTCCCAGATATTCGGCCTTTTCATGATTTTTACGTCATCTTTCACCGGAATTGTTTCAAATTTCTTATTTGAAGTTTGTAATGGGTACTAGAGTCTATTACAGAAAATTGTCTTTGCAGGTCCAGGTCTTCGTATAGGCCACATATATCAGTACCTCCCTATATTGTTTGAAATTTCGTATTTAAATTAGTACTATGACGAAAATTGCCTATGCAGGTCCAAATTTCCAAGTTCGTTCTAAATGGTGAAGAGTATTCAACTCCCGACCCGTCCGACCTTACTGCTTTTTTACTTTTCCCCCTAACCTAATGAAGTGACAACCCTATATTTTCAATTACTACAACAGAGCTCTTACGACTGTAAGAACTTCCTTTGTATTTACATCTTTTTGGCCAACTGCGTTATGGATATTCATTACATTTTAATTCCTAGTCATCTAGACTTTATTATTACCTCCTTTCATAATCATCATCACCAACAACATCATAGCTGTCGTCTCATCAACAATTCCTTCATTCGTTCTTTGCTATTAAAAGTAAACATTTTAATGCATTTGCTACGGAAATTGATTTATGAGTTTTCTTCCAACTAAACTTTTCGCAAAGACCTTTTGTGGGTAACACAGACACACACTCACGCACATATTTATTTATGAAAGTATAAGATACCCAGACTAGTTGAACATGCACTGCTTTTGCACGAATGGTGGGTGAATATGAAGATTGACTTGGCTGTACTTGCAATGCAAGTCGTACAACAAACACATAGCTGGTGTGTGTACCCTCCTTGCAATGATTTGGTATAAATTAAGGGTAACATTTGTTTGATTGCCATGTTAATTACGGTTATGCACTCACAAGTGCAATCGTTGTAAATGTTTTGCAAAAAGAAAATGTCAATATCTAAGAAAGGGAAATATGAATTTATGTTTTGTAGTGAAAGAATAAACTCTTATGATCAGACATAAAATAATAATTATTATTATTTTGAAATCGCCTTAAAATTTTAATTTAGAAAAAAAACTTATTTTTATTTCTGATGTCAATTTTCTTGTCTTGTGGTAGGTTGCCAGACGAAAGTTCTAATGTAAACATACTATCACATTTCATTGATTGGTGCCTTCGTGAGAAATATGTTGCATGCTCTTAGGCGCTATAGTAACTCAGTTACTTTACTTTCTAATCAGAATTCTTTAAAAGATTGACTATTTCCAAGTTTAAAATGAATAGAATTTGGACAATTACCTATAGACAAATAATTTTTCATTCAAGTCAGGAACAGTTAAGACATTTTAGGTCTGTATATAACGTTTTTTTCCCATTCCAATGTAAATTTCACGTTATTGTCAACCCAAGACAATTTTGTTCGCATATATCCTTTGTATCACAAGCCAGAATAAAAAATCGTATAAATTCCACATTCAAAAATATGTCACAAAATCCTTTGTGCATACTTTTCAGGAAGCATGCAACTAATGTGAATCAATTTAGCTGAATGTGCAAATAAAATTTACAAACCACCGAGACATCACACATCCCCCAATAACACCCAGTGTCATCCATTGTCTAGATAATGTTTGAGTAATTTTTTAACGTCAAACAGACACACTTACATATGCACTTCTATTTTTTGTGGAAATATGAAAAGGATATTGCCAAAGGATCCAGGGTCTATCGTTTGAAGCATTTCAAATTGTTTTCAAAATATTATTAATGTTCAACTATTAAAATGATAAATTGTGGATAATTTACATGTTAACATTGTGTCATGTATGTATGAGTATGTGTATGTGTCTCGGACGATGATTGTATTCAATTTTCGAATCAAAAAAAATGACGGGAATATTAAAAAATTCTATTTGCCAAGATAACGAGCGGTCATTATCTCAATACAATAGAGGAGGGTGGTTTGTCACATTATATACAAAATGGCTACGATTTATTAGTTTCATGGAAATTTAACAATTTTCAACACACATGAACACATATATATACATACATATGAACCACATTTTACGTTTTATCTATAAATCTTGACATTAAAGCTTTAACTTTGTAAAAGATTTATGATGTGCAAATTATTGACCCTGATGACATCAAATAAAATTTATAGTTTTTGGTTGTATTTACTTTCGAACTATTTCTCATTAATTATTTTGGCTCCCAAAAGCAAAATATTAAACAATTAACAAAAACTTAGACGCCTTCAGAAGTTCCTCTACAACTGACCACCATTATCTGCCATAGCAAATCCATTTCCTTTTATTTTTCCTATTTTTCCTCGGACATCCGCCAAATGAACTCAAATTGTGATTATGATCTCTTTGACTAACACAAAAACATATATGGTTGCCAAATGATTAATTACCGAAATACCCAATGAAATTCTTTAAGATTTAGGGATGGTTAAAGCTAATAAAACAACATCAAATTATGGGGGACAAATGAGTGGGAAATAAACAAAATGGAAAAAAAAGAACTAAATAGGGCATTAATAGAAATTTGAGAGACTTTCGCCGAAACTTTTTTTCTAGAGAAAAAACCGTAGCGATACACATGATATCAGAATGTTCCAGAATCCCTAAGAATCGTAGCTCAAGATTTCCATGAGGATTGATGCATAAATGTTACTAACAGGTCAAATTAGACTTATAAATTCCACCTAAAGAGGTATAAAACCTTGAAATAGTTTCTTAATTTTGTGCATTATGTTTTAGCTAACGCCCTCTTTATTTCAATTTAAGCAAATTGACTTTTAACTCGGTGAGAGAATGAGTGATTAGATTCCAAAGTGGTCCTAAAAGCTCAAAAGTATGAAAAAGTAAAGAATACATAAACGTTCTTTTTTTGGCTGGCTTAAGTCATCGGCTGGCTTCTTCGCAAAAGAACCATAGAGTTATAGGTTGACTTAGTTCGATTTGTGCCCATAATTTATACACGTTCTCGCTCCTTTCCTCTTTTACAAAGAAGCCAGACGATTACTTGAGCAACTCAAAAAAGCGTTAGAATACACCTTAACTCATGATACAATAAAGAAGGGAACCTGATTTCAAAACAGCATACCCAGCTCGGCATTTTCAGCCACTTACCTTGTCAAATTTAACTGTATAAAATACAAGTTGTAATTTCTGAATTGTGTATATATACAATAGATCTATGAATATAAATTTTGACAATAAGATGTTGTCAAATGGATAAATTTGAAAAAAAGTAGACATATGATTGCCTTCTTAATTCTAGTATTGAGTTACTCATATTTTCTTTAATAGTGCAACTAACGCCATCTAGATTTCAATTTTATCTTTTGGTAACGAGAGAGGATGCTTTTCATAAAACTAGGGCACATCAGTCACAGCAGGATGACCAACAGAGTATAATGAGTAGATATCTGAAGTCAGAACTGGAAAAGACACCAAATATAAAAATATGCCTAATATCCTGCTATACATAGTGAGATAAAAAAACTGCAACAAAGTCAAACGCCATAATTTTTAAATTTTTTTTTTTTAAATTTTATTGAATGAAAGCCAAAACTGTCGAAAATAGCGTCAAGTTTAGATTGGAGAAAATCGAATTCGGCAGTTCACCACTTTTGGCCAAACGAAGCAACTCTTTAGCTTTAGCGGTGTAAGTTCTTGCACTTTTTGGAATTTCGATGGCTTTGCGATGTTCAGGTCACGTGCCATTTTTCGACCACTACGACGCAGGTTTCGATGAAGTCGCTTCTTTACATTTCGAACTATTTCCGCTGATGTTGGTATTTTCTTCCGTTTACTTCCTTGACGTCGGTATACGCTTCCAGTATCACGGTAACGAGCGTTCGTAAATAACTTTTCTTTAAAATTGCGATTTTTAAATTTTAAATAGAAGTTTATACTTATGTGTGATAATACTGAGCTTTTCTAAACCTTTCTAAAAGAGTAAAAAATTGGTGGAATTCCAAATTTGCAAGTACATTGCAAGTAATGGTATGCAGCGCCATCTACATTTCAATGATCGGTATTTTTATTCATTAGCATACTTTTAGGATAGAAACTTAAAAAAATATTTAATTCAATTCAAATTTATTGAGTCTTTGTTTTGTCATGTCTGTTTTCCCCATTTTTCTAACTTTGACATATCTCACTTTAGAACTTTTATATATTTTTCGAAAATATGAGCTTCAGAAAATCTGTAACGGAAGTAAGAATTTTAAATTCCTTTTAAGTTTGACAACACTTTCATTTATCCAAAAATTTTATATAGCGCTCCCGCGAATCAAAGAATTACAATCTTTACTGCATCAATTTTCATGACAGCGGTCTGGAGACAATTAAAAATGTTTTTAAAAGCCAAGTACAGACCGGACTACGCCGCCCTGTCTTTATAATTGATACCGATGAAATACACACGGAATTGGAATCCGAAAAAAGGAACTCCCAAGATTCGAGAAAAAGTTTAAAACAAACCACATGCACTCGCGTTCTACAGGCCATACAAACTTGTTGCCAACAATTTGATTATGTTAACAAGAAAATAGCTGAGGAGCTCAAATTTGACATTTATCAATATTGGCTGAAGGATATTGAGGAAAAGGAAAGGGCTTCCACAATTGATGCAGCAAGTCAAAGAGATAACACGTCACTGAATTTAAAGGAGTCGGGTAAGATGAGTGCAAAAAGGAAATCCAAAGTAAATAAAACAAAACGAGCTTCCCGCAAATCGGAGGTGAGCACTAAAAATGAGGGAAAGAATGAAAAGGCTGAGGAGGAGTTGTCTTGTATCCCCGTGGTTGTGAGGGAACACAATCGTGTGGGCCAACCTGAAATGTTGTCTAAACGAAAGGTAATTCTTTGAATTTTAAAATTATTTGAAATGTTTAATTTGAAGTTTTTCTTTTTATTTTTAGTACATTGAAGATAATCCCCAAGATGGGAAGTTGTATATTATACTTCTTGGTCAATTCAATGATGATTTCTATTTGGAATTGCTAAGGTATTTATGTTCCTGATTTCCATATCAGTATTATTTTGTAATCTCTTTTTGCCCAAAACAAAACTGTTCAATATTTTCTTAAGAGGATTCGGATTTTATTCGTTCCGATACCCCATGTTACTTGCCTTTGTACCAATGTTGTTAGTCGACAATAAATTGTTATTTAAATACCAAAGTCTTAAGTTGACATGACACTTTGCCAAGCGCTGCAGCTGCAGCTCCTTCCTCTAGGAATCCTTGCAAGCATTCCCATGAGCTCGAGACCTTTGCTAAGAATTTGAAACTGAAAACTTAACAAGTGTTTGTTTTCAAAAAGAAGTTTTCCTTTTTGCATAACATGCTTAGGATAGACAACGACAACAACAAAAACAACAACATATGAAACTACTTCAGTAATTCAAATATGCATTTGGTTTTGGAAGTCAAGAGGGAAAAAGGAAGCTAAGAACGAGAATCCACTTCACTGTGTGTGCAATAACTAACCTCTTGAAGACTTGTGTGAGTTATCGATGGAGTTAGACGAAGAGGCAAATAGAGTACCCTATAAAATAAATGAGTACTCTAGAAAGTAATCTCATAAACTGCAGACCAAAAAAGGTATAGCAATCCTGGTAGGACTTCTATGTGTATAATACCTTTAGAAAGCTTTCTATGTATAGACGACCTGTAAAATGTTTAGAAGACATTCAAGAGTAGAACTTAATAAAGTCTTCTATGAAAAGAAAGCCTTTAGTATAGCATACTTTTAGGGATTCGTCTAAATACAGAAGACCATAGAAGTCCAATAACTAACCTCTTGAAGAAGTCTTAGGTGAAATTCTGCGTATAGAAGACCTTTAGAAGGTCTTCAAAGCATTAGGTAGTTTTCTATGTGAGACAGGGTGAGATAAAAAACTGCAACAAAGTCAAACGCCATTATTTTTACATTTTTTTAATTTTTATTGAATGAAAGCAAAAAATTTCGGAAATAGCATCAAATTTTAGAACGAAGTATGGACTTCAAACGGTCACTGAAATCATCACACTCTGCCCGAATACTGCTCTGCGATATTTTGGCTAATTCCCGGCGATGCGCTTGCTTGAGGTGATCGACACTTTGGTATTTTTTAGTGCCAACCTTGCTTTCCAAAATATTCCAGACACAATAGTCCAACGGATTGGTATTTGTGCGCTGGAAATGAAGCGAGGAACCTCATTTTGTAACGATTCTTGGGTGGTGCGTGCTGAGTACGATGGTGTTGAGTCCTGTTGCAATGTCCAAGGTCTGTGGCCAAAATGTTTGCGTGCCCAAGGCTTTAGTACACCCTCCATGATGCCACGGCGATTAATACGAGCGGAGAGCGACCATCTGCTGTTATGGCGGCCCACACCACCACCATGGCCGACGCTTGAGTTCTGGTGGCCAACCGAAGTTGCATGTTTTCAGCTGACCTCTTTGGCAAGTAAACACGATCATTTTGTTTGTTTACAAACTTCTGGACAACGAATGTTTTCACATCGGAGAAAACAAAATTCGACAGTTCACCACCTTCGGCCAAGCGAAGCAACTCTTTAGCTCTTTTGAGTTTATTTTCTTTCCGTCACGGTGTAAGTTCTTGCACTTTTTGGAATTCCAATGACTTTCCCCGAGCTTATTTTTTCAATATTTGCCGAATGGAATATTGCGATCTGTTCAGCTAAAAAGCCATTTTACGGCCACTGTGACGCGGGTTTTGATCAAATCGCTTCTTTACTTTCCGAACCATTTCTGCTGATGTTACTGATTTCTTCCGTCTCCGTCCACCTCCATAACGTCGGGCTACGCTACCAGTATCACGGTAACGAGCGATGGTACGCGACACATTTAAGATTTATTCACATTTAAATGCTGGAGTGCTCTAACGATAGCCACTTGTAGTTTTCCAGCCAAATATAAAGAAATCACACAATCACGCTAGAATTCCATAACGGATAACTTCTTTTCTGAAAAATTCTCACCAAAATGCTTTTGTACGTTTGTAAACAATATAATGAGCTGTCACTGGAATAATTTTAACAGCTGTCGGACGAGTGGCTTAGAAATTACAGCAGTCTGAAGCTGGTTGCACTTTTTTCATCTCATCTTGTATATTGGTATAGCTTTTGGAGGTCTTCCATGTATAGAGGAATATAGAAGATTTTTATGAAGCTTTTTTTAGGAAGATGTTAAGTAGAACTTCTAAATATAGAATACTTTTAGGAGGTATTGTATGTTAGGAAGACTTTATGTAGCATATCCTTAGGATATCTTCTATATATTCAACACCTTGGAAGGAAAGGTAACATCTCTATATGAATAATGAAAATTGCCATTGTAGGGCACTATTGAAAACTTTATCTTTAGTTGCAGACATGCATCATGTATGTCTTTGAAAATAGCATTAATTATGCAAAATTTATGTGCAACGCCAAAGTAAACCTTCTCAGACATAGAGGATAAACAGGGAGATACATGGCAACCAAACCCATTCCTAAAAGCTGTTAAGAAACGATATCAAGTGCCTAACTCCCCCCCTTTCTCCTTTGCAGATATGGTCAGCCAATTCTTGGAATCATGAATTTCATTCCCACGGAAAGCAATTACGATCTGCTAATAAACAATACAAAATTGCGTTCATTTATCGAATCGACATTGGAATCCATTGGCAATTCCACCTATGAATTCCGCCAGATAGTGTCAATGAAGCCTGTGGGTCTCTTCACACATCAGTTATCGATTCTTTCACCCTGCATGGCGAGCAAATTGCAAAGAGATATTTTTGATCAATTTTCATGGTCGGTTTATGATATTGAGATGTTATATCACCATTATGAGCTATACTACTATAAACCATTTCACCTTTACAATGTAAACCTACCCTTGGAGGTGGATTTAAGAGAAACCCAAGAAATTGCAGAATCCCTTAATTTGCAAGGACATTTTCAAAACACTACCCTATCCGGCTCTAGTTCGGATTTCGCCAACATTGCCGTGTATTTGAATAGTTTGCTGAATACTTGTGGCCCTCTCGATCTAAGTTACAATGGCACTGAATTCAGTTTCCCAATACCAGAGAATGGCGGAACTAGACCCGCCAGTTCCATTTTCTCAAACATTGCCAAGATACGAAAATTTGGACGTTTCTTTGTGGATGGAGGCAATGAATTCTTTAATAATATGCTAATGTATAACGAACCTCAAGGAGTTCAAAACCTAAGACCAATATGTCTTGATTATTATTTGTGGAAGCCTTATGTTATAAAAAGCCACTCAAAAGAGTTGGGAATAGCCAAAACTATGGCAACTCTGGAGGAAGTTATACCCTTACCTGGCTATATACAACTTTATCTCAACGAAGATAGCTGCAAACAAAAAATGTTCGAGCTACTTGAGAAACATGACAATTTCGAGATAAAAGATATGGGAAACTATTTTAAAATTTATACTTTTTATGAAACCCATAACTCCATAGAGGAGTCCGAGCAAATGTTCATTTTACCCAGTCGTCTGTGTTTTCGGGACTTTACTTTATTTCAAAAGGAAGAGTTTCTTGAAAATCTCATCACTCCAGAAATGCGTAAAGCCTCTCTGGAAGAAGCCAGGAGACAATCTCTGGAACAAGGTGGCCTTGAAAAGAAAATGGAAATGTTACAACTTGATGAAGAGATTTTCATAAGACCCAATTCGTTAAAGGCCTTAAAATTGCTGGAAGCAAAATCCAGTGCAGATTCGGTGAGTCCACAAGCTAAGGAACGTCGCAGTAGTCGCCTTAAAAGTAGACAGTATAATAAGAAACTCTCCGTAAAAGAAGATAGACGTCAGTCCCAGGATTGGGTGGGGCTACCTCCCGGACATCCCCTATTGAAGGGCTATAATTTGGAGGATATACGTCAAGAAATTAAATTGAAAACCTCAAAATATTATTTTGATCATGGCCAAATGGAGTTGTATGAGGAGAGATGGTGTTTCCAAGACATGAATCAGACCCTGAAATTCGCTATAAAAGATTGTCACTTGTTTCTCAATCGTCCTCGGTTTCAGGATAAGGGAATCAGTAATAATATTCGCCTGGAAACCCAAGATAATGTTAATATAAGAATTTTCAATGAAATAGAAGCCAATGCCCGCATTGTCATGAATTATCCCAATGGGTTAAGTGTTTACCACCATGAAATGCATTCTGAGCAGATTTGGAGTAGTGATTCCACATTTAATGGCGAAAGGCAACGAATTGTAACCCCTTATGGGGTGGTGATTGTTTTCTTCAAAGTAAATGATGTTATTGTCATAATGCGTTACAATGGAGAAGTCTACAGATTGTATCAACACGATCTGGAGGAGGGAGAGGAAGATAATATTTTAAACGAATTTAGCAATAATCAAAGCTCCGAGAATATAGATCCAAATGGCCAAGGAGATTATCAGCGAAAAAGGCTGAAAATAAACAATAATGCCAAGCTGAACAATGATGCCAAGCTGAACAATGATGCCAAGTTGAACAATGATGCCAAGAATTTCTCTAGCAGTGATGCCACAATTTTCAATAACTCTTCAAACACAACTAATTGGGGAGAAGCTTTGAAAGCTTCCATTGATGATGAACTGAAGTTTCTTTTCCACATTTGCACGTTATATAGACTCAGTTACATGCACCTTGGAATAACCACATCTCAGGGAAAAAGGTTCCACGTAACCAGACAGGGGAAGGTAAATGTATGGATGAACTTATGGTAGAAGAATACAGGTAGTCGTATCTAATCAGCTGGACAATGAACTGTCAAACCAACTTTGACATTGAAAATTTTGATCGAAAAATTATTCAAATTTGTAAAAATTGTTGAAAAATACATATCATAACAATCTCCAATTGGCGTAGTATAAGAAAACGTATAAATATCTACTTATTTTTGACAAAACATTTTAACGATTTTGACATATCAATGTTCCCAATCGTTTATGCATCTACCTGTATTCTTCTACCATGGATGAACTACATAATATTTATTTATTTGATTTTTTCAATAATTTCATTATTTTTTTTAATATTTTCTTCTACCAAAACATATTTCTCTCCAAGGTTTTCGAAGAGAAACCCTGTATCATACAAGAATGGCATGATTATTTTGCCAACGAGAGCTACTGTCAACGTGACGATGGTATCAAAATGATTTGGACTAGTAACGCTCTCAGATGTTATCATGCAGAGGGCACTGTTTTTACTACAGAAACTGAAGAGAAAACGCTCTCTTTTGGCTCAGATGAATTTGGTGGGTATTAGGGACTTGAGAATGGACTATTTTTTATTTCTACATCCCCTTCTTCCCAGACAGCCAAATTTCTCAAAGCTCTTCACATATTTTATGTGAGGAAGAAGAAGATATTGAAAATGGTTTGAAATCTGAAAATATGAAACGTTTTCCCCATTTCAAAGCCATGAGCACAGAATGCCCTGAAGAGTATGAAGACGAGAGATTCGTTAATTATATTTGCAACAGGTTCTGGATGCAGCATGCTTCATATGCTGAGGTACATACTAAATGGTTGGACACTTCCGCTTCCAACCAGTCACCCATAATCATGGAAATTTTGGGTATTAATGGTATTATTTCATATACACTCCCTGGGGATTCCAATCAAAGGAACTCATGCGAAAAGCATTATGCCATGAAAGATCAGGAAGGAGCCACTGAAAAAGCAATGCAGTTAGTTGTTCACCTTTGGATTGGAGATTGCTTACATTTTTCTGTGGATGAGGATGGTCTTGAGATTTCTGTGATATTGGAACGAAAATCTCTTTTAGAGGATGAGCAGAATATTGAAAGGTAATCTTTAGTTTGTGACACTACTCTATAGGAAATGTCACATCCACTTATTTATTTTACAACAAAAAACCTCTGGACTCTGAAACTAATCTTATTTGCTGAAGATGAATTCTATTTCACTGTAGATGGCCCCTCGGCTTATCTACTCTACTGTATATGGCCCCTCGGCTCATCTACTCTACTGTAGATGACCCCAGGGCTCATCTACTCCACTGTAGAAGATCCCAGGGCTCATCTAGTCTACTTTAGATGACCCCTGGGCTCATCTACGCTACTATAGGTGACCTCTGGGCTCATCTACTCTGCTGTAGATGACCCCTGGGCTCATCTACTCTACTGTAGATGACCCATGGGCTCATCTACTCTACTGTAGATGGCCCCTGGGCTCATCTACTCTACTGTAGATGATCCCTGAGGCTCATCTACTCTACTGTAGATGATCCCTGAGGCTCATCTACTCTACTGTAGATGACCCCTAGGCTCATCTACTCTACTGCAGATGACCCCTGGGCTCATCTACTTGTTTTTGAACTTGTCTACTTTACTCGTATGCAAAAATTTTGTCCTTTGTTCCACTGTACATATATTTTACCAAAATGCATTTTTAATAACATAGCTATTAAAATCCCTTGAAAACTTTATAAAACCGTTATCGAAAGAAATACATTTACCTACAAAGCTGCTATGCAACCAGTGAAAATTAACGACTATGTAGACTAGAAATCCCTTGACTCAAAGACGATCGTTAATTCTGTGTCATTCGTTAAGAAAATACGAGTTCCTTTAACAATACCCTTGAGAGAGGCCCCCATTTCGACTTAACCGAGTGGAGAAAATTTGCAGCATATCTGGCTGAGGACATTTCGTCATGCAAGAAGAACATTGCTTCCATATCTGGCCACACATCCACTCTCTGTGACATAATGTCATTGTTGGGTGATGATACTTTGCATTTATGATTAGTGCGGAGCAGTGTTGGACATGAATACAGATGATGATAATGACGGCAATGGTGATGTGATGTGTTCCAAATGCATTGTGCCACGGATGCTGTCAATGATAGTTGTTGTTGTTGTTTTTGTTCTGTTGACGGTGTGGAAGAACGTTAATAACGGCAAAGGTTTAGCTTGAAATGTCTGGAATGCATTATTATCTTTTGCTCTGAACATTATTATGCAAATGAAAATGTTTTATCAAGTGGAAAATTGTCAGTCAGTTAAGACGTACATACAGCAAACCGCAAATTATCCCGGAGAAATGCTAAGAAAGAAAAAAAACGTCCCAGAGTGCTGCTCACACATTGTTTTCAAATTCAAATTAACATAAAAATAAATGTGTATTCATCTTGCCTTTTCGCCTCCACCTTATTTTTATCTTTATCCTTGCAGGGATTCCTTAGTGCTGCGATTGTCATATGCAGATTGTTTAACGGATGTTTTCAAACATTGGGTAAATCAAATTGCCACATTTTACCAATATAATGGTCAAATAAATAGGCAACTATATTTTGTGGAGAAACAGGGAAAGGGTAAGGAGCGGTAATTTTATATTCGCATTGGATTTTATAAATGTTTTTGTTTAAGGGTTTGAATTCCTTGAAGCTTTGCCTCAATCATGTGGTTATATACTTAACTGTGGTAACTGTATTTTTGATGCCCAAGAATTGAAAACCATTAACGAAATGATGGAACACAAAATCGAGTACTTTCAACAAGATATGAAGAAATTTCCAAGGTTTCACTGCACTACCAGCAAAAAACCTAACAAAGATGACATTTATTTTCCTATAATAAGTAGTCTAAGGTAAGTTAAAAATATTTCAGATAGAAGTTTTTGTAGAACTTGCTTAAATTTATTTCCTTTACAACAATCCACTTTCTTCAAAATATTTTAAAGCATATAACAAATGCTCTTGAACCCTTGGATTGTCATACATTGGTATGCGCATCTTTGCCAATTCCTCGGCATTCTTAAATGTTTCCGAAGTGAGACTCTTCGATGTGGTTTTATCCAATGCATCCATTGGAAATTCGCTTAATGTTACATATATGCCAATTATTTCACAACGTTTTAATTCCAGCAAAATACCTCTCCAACTGGGTATAGCATCGGTGGGATATTGGTTCTCCAATAATGTTTCTTTTAAATTGTGATAATAGGTTTGCAGTAATTTCTTTCTATTATTCTTTAGAACCGGCAATTCTAAACTCGTGTAAAGGAAACAACTCAAATCATAACCACAGCTGGCCCAAAAGGTTTCTTGGAAATCCACCTAAAATTTAGAATATATGTTTTTTATAAAAATTTCAAAAGATTCCCCATTCAAAACTTACAAATAATGCATCCATGGGTTCCTGAGACTCCTTGTCATACTTTAAAAGTATATTGTTTACCCACATGTCTCCATGATTTATGACATTAAAACTGCTGTTGGCGGGATCCACTGCTTGCTTTGCCAAATCATTGAATCTATTTTTAAGTTCATGTAGTCTTGGCTTTAAATGTTCATATCCTGGCCAATTTTGAGTCATATTTGCCACATAATCGAAACCTCCAAAGATAATGGCTTCACCCACAGCATCCAAATATCCTTTGGCTAATTGAGATTTTCTCAGGCTGTCAACTACTTGGGGGAACTGAAAGAATTTTCTTAGCCCATTTGGTTACATTTTGTATTGTTTATTTCAAAACTTACCCGTTTCTGATATAATATAGAGGCCGCATGATATTTTCCCAATTTCTTCATCACCAAATGACCTTGGGCTGCATTCAATCCCTTCACTCTATCGGCACAATAGTAACCCAATGCATTTAAATTTTCCAGAACATAAAATTCTTGGTGTCCTCGGTGTTCAGTTAGGAAGCATCTGAAAATAAAGTGTATTAAAACGATTAATAATTTCCATTGTCTTTTTTTATTAACTCATTAATAGTTTCATAAATCCCTTTGCTTTCTCTTCTCTTAACACGAATTACGGTTTTTATTCTCTTTGATTATCAGAATACCACATGAGCTCTTGAAACCTCTCTGTTTACTTTTACCATTAACCATAGCAGGCTCACAGTTTACATGATTTACTTAGCCCTGCTTTAATTAATATGTTTTAGCCGATTAATAAATATTACATTAAATGTTTAAAAATAAAATATTAATATGTACAATTAAAACACTTACGTTGCAAACAGTTTCTCCTTTTCTCTTTCCTCCAGAACATTCAAATATGTTTCCATAACTGGCAGGACTTTCGTAAGCATCAAACTTTCATTTGTCCCAATCTTTGTTATTTCTTCTTTTAGAATTTTTAAAATAAACGATGTCTGCTTTTTATCATTGCCATTCAATTCGTATTGAACGTTCACCACATAGATGTCACTGCAAAAGTTTTCGCCATTCTCTGATAAAATCTTAAAATCACTAGCTTTTATTTTCACACATTCGGCAGTGGTTTGATGTATTTCACACACAACACGAACGATAAGAGCTTCGTCGGCAAGTTTAGGTACTATAGGTGCAACCATATTTAATGGGAGGGGAAATGTATGTGCTATTCTCCGTCAATAGAACTTGACTGAAGGGCGATTTTGCTATAACTGAACTATACATTGGTTACACAAAAGCTTGTAGATAAACCTTAATTGCTCACTATTGTGAAATAAAATTAGTGAGTATTGTTTGTGGCTCCCAAAAGCTATTGTTTGTCACAAAAACAAAATGGAATAATTAAAGGTAAAAAACGAAAAAATAAAAATATTGTAATTTAATTTTTTTAATGCACCTACATTTATTTTCTTATTAAATATTCCAAAAAAAGGACGATCTAGAACCTGCAGGATTCTACTACTATTTTTGTAATTTTTTTAGATTTCATACGGAAAAACTTGGTAGTCGTGGTAACATTGTTACATTCTTTCAAGCTCTGGAATAAAATATATATTAATTTATCCATTGCATTTACACAAATCAGATATAGTAAAAGGTTTTTTTGCTGTACAAAAAATGCGTAGCTGGATATTATTATTTAAAATATGGTTACTTTGAATTAATTCTACCATGGCTCCAACATTCTGTAGTAATACAATTTCAATTACTTTACAACAATCCACTCTCTTCAAAACATTTCAATGTATACAATAAATTATCCTTGACTCTTTGATTGGCATACATTGGGGTACGCATCTTTGACATTTCCTCGGGGTTTTCAAACGTTTCCAATGTGAAATGTTTCGATGATGTCTTATCCAAGGCAATTATTGGTAATTCACATAACGAGACATACAAAGCAATTAATTCACAATGTTTGACTTCCGCCAAAACATCATCCAAACTGGGAATATTATCCACCTCAAATCTACTCTCCACCAAAGCTTTTCTTAGAGCCTCACAATAGGTTTGCAACAAATCTTCTTTCTTTTCCTGCAAAACTGGCAATTCCAAACTTGTATACAGGAAATAATTCAAATCGAAACCACAACTGCCCCAGAATGTATTTTGAAAATCCACCTTGAATGGGAATATTTGTAGAAACATGTTTTTCATTTATAACTAAAACTTACAAAAACAACATCTAGTGGGTTTTGGGTATCTTTGTCATACTTAAAAAGCATGTTATTTACCCACAAGTCTCCATGGGTAATAACGTTTAAAGTGCTCCTAGAGGGATCCACCACTTGCTTCACCAAATCATTAAAGCCATTTTTAAGATTAAGCAGCCTAGGTGCCAAGTGTTGGTATCCCGGCCATTTTTCAATCATATTTGCCACATATTCAAAACCTCCAAAGGCAATTGCTTCGGCCACAACATCTGCTGCTCCTTTGGCAAAATGGGATTTTTCAAGACTGTCAACAATGTCAGGGAACTGTAATGATTCAATTTTGTTAACGAGATTACATTCTTCAAATTCAATTCAATGTACCTCTTTCTGATATAAAATTGAGGCCGCATGGTATTTTGCAATTTTTTGCATTACCATGTGACCCTCGACTTCGTTCAAACCTTTCACACGATCGCCACACATATAGCCCAAAGTATTTAAATTCTCCAGAAGATAGAACTCATGTTTTCCTTGGCGTTCAGTTAAAAAACATCTGAATTGTAAAGTTATAGAAGAAAATAATGACTGAAATTAATACTTGGTGTTTCATTATAATCGAGTTACTCTGTTTATATTTTAGTCATTAACTCTCTTAATAATTTCTCTTTGTTACGGTTATCGAAGTTTAGACAGAGAAATGTAAAGAGACACGCAAGAGATTACTGCTTGGTTTACAAAAATGTCATTTAGAGAGTTTAATGTATATTAATAATAATAATAATAATAATAATAGTAATAATAATAATAATAATAATAATAATAATAATAATAATAATAATAATAATAATAATAATAATAATAATAATAATAATAATAATAATAATAATAATAATAATAATAATAATAATAATAATAATAATAATAATAATAATAATAATAATAATAATAATAATAATAATAACAATAATAAAAATAAACCTGCATCGTTTACTACTCACTTGGCAAATAATTTGTCGGTCCCTTTCCCCTCCACAGTGTTCAAATACCCTTCCATAACCGGTAATACTTCGGTAAACATTAACTGTTCGTTGGTTCCAATTTCGGCAATTTCCGGTATCATTAGTTTTAAAATAAAAGACTTTTGCATGGCATTGCCGTTTATTTCGTAGTTTACATCGACTTCATAGATGTCACTGCAAAAATTTTCACCATTCGCTGAAGATAATTTAAAATCACAAGCTTTTATTTCAATACACTCAACAGTTGTTTTATGAGCTTCACACAATGCACGCACAATGCGAGCTTCGTTAAGAAGAGTAGGCACCAAGGGTGATGACATTACTGGCGGGGAGAATTATGTACGCAAAAAAGAACAACAAAGCGTCCTCCGTCAATCGAACTTTACTCATAAGTGAATAAACTATAACTAAACTTTTCATTGCAGCGTTATCTAAAATAGTGTTGCCAGACTCAAAATTTCACCTAGCATTGCGAAATAAACAAATGTTATAGGGTAAATATTTTTGGATGATTGATAAAAATTCTAATAATAAGACGAGAGTATTTATTTATTTTAAATACAAACAACTGTCATTTCTATTTAATAACAAATAATTTTGAAATTACATAACATTGCTATTGAGAAATTATTTTTGTTATCTCATGGTCAAAATATATATTCATATATATCATGTATACACAAATCGGAGATGGGTCACGGATATTCTCATTTGAAATGAGTTTATATTGAAATAATTGCACACTGGGGTAGATATATTCTGCCAACTGTCACACAGCTTAAAATTGTTTATCTTAAAGTAAATAATAAATTAATAATTAATGATAAACTAAGTCTTAGAACTTAAAAAGCCAAATTTTAAGGAAAAAATTTAAATTTATTTCTTTTAGAGTTTATTGCAAAATACCAACCCAGCTGCAAAACTCCCAAAATATTTGCCAATTTATGGAAACACTTGAAAATGTCGAATTTAAAAAATTGCAATCTAAAATGAAAGAACTTGTTGAATTCCATTTACGACCCCAATCGGCTCTTAAAGTCAAACGAAATTTTAGCATCGCAGCATGGCAAAAACGCCATCAACAACACGAAAAGCGTAAAGCTGTGGAATTACAAAGGAGGGGCCTGTATCATGCAATGATTAAACATCGTAAATATCCAAAATATTTTGATTTTATGTCGATCTATGAAGGTCATGTACGTTATCTGAACTTCTTTGAATTTCTGTTATCAAAATGTAAAAATGAAGAAGTTAAGCGGGAAGAAGTATATTGGGATTTGAAAAAAGAAACAAACAATGTAAATTCATTAAACTCAAAATCAAGACGTTCCAAATCTTCTTGTAAATATGGTACTTATGATGAACCATAAGATTTCCGTTTTTATGCTCCATATGTGTATGTTTATATATATTTAATTAAATAAAGAAATTACATATCAAAATAAGAATTAATATTTAAAGAATAGACTCTTTAAAATGTTTAAGAACCGAATACTCGATTAACTTCGTCGAAGATGTCCCTAAATTCCAGACAGCTGTTTTTTTTTTTAAATCCTGCAGCATGGTTTCTCTCGATCTTTATCACCCTTATATTTGTTAAAAAAAAGTTAACGGCGTCAAAATGACTACCTAAAGCCGGCCTCGAGTTGAAGAAACTTACTCCCCCGGTTCATTTAATGAATGTGGCCAACGGTTCGATTTCCCATGTCTCATTCGTAAACAACAGAGGTCCCTCGGGGATTTTGCTTTCTCGTTCTTTTTTATCGGGCATTTCTTTTTTATTTCTTATTTGGCAAACAATCGATGTCAATGTCGATAGTAACGATAAGATACTTTAAAAGAGGTTATCGATTGTTGACTTTTTCTTTTGTAATTATCGAAAGAAATGGCTATACTCGTGGTATAATTCCAAATGTATAGGATCAATTGACTTCCTGAGGATTTTTTAACAATTTTAAATTTTGAATAGTTTGTACCGAAAGTGCTAATAATTATATAGTGTATTTAGAATATTAAGAATAAAACGCACAATAGAACCGAAAATAAGTTAAATCTATGTCCACAAGTAATGAGAAAAAGCCTGCCTCAAAAATGCCAGCTGTCAACAATGCGGTTCCTTCTGTTACTCCCATTGAGGGGAATGTTAAACTTGAAACCAGCTCTCCCATAGTGAATGGAATCACTAAATTATCCTCACTGACTCCGGCCAGGGACTTGACTTTGGGCGGTAGGGGAAGCTCCACAGCGGCCAAAAAAGTATTTCTGCCAAATCTCAACGTGGTTAGAAACAAGAATACGTAAGTTCAAATGTAGTGTCATCATCATCGTCCCGAATATCTATTTTATGTATTTTCCTTAATACAGCAATGTTAAAACCTCGAAAGATACCACACAAATGCGTGGTCGTGGCCGGGGGCGTGGTGCAGACAGAGGTGCTGGTAGGGGCGGAAGTCGTGGCGGCAGAGGTGGTGCTTCAAATTTGATACAGACTGCGGGCGTTTTCTCTGAAGGAGCTGGAGCTGTGAACATACGCAAAACAACAAATTCGTCAGGATACTCCAGAGATGTGGATGACTCACCATCAGCCATGCGTAAACCCACCATATTTAAAACAGAAAAGAAAATGGATTTAAAGGCTGAATTAGCTAGAGATAAAGATATACTAAGAGGCCTAGATGATGATGAGGAAGAAGATGATGAACAAAAGACTGATATGGATAGAATACCTGTGCTACTGAATGAGGGTAAGTGGTATATTTAAATGCATTTTTACGGGAATTTGAGCAAGCAATATGGCCTGAGCCCAACGACCCATAAATGCTGCCAAAACATCCTATATTAGTTCAGAAGTTCACCGAAGGACTTCTATTAACATTTCGAAGTACCTTCCGAATGGACTATTTCATTAAATGAATGAATTTCGTTTAATACCATTGTCCTTGCCCTATTTCCTCTAAAAAATATTTGGATTTTCTAACTAAAGCCAAATGGAAGTACATAAAACCCGAAATAAAAACCGAAGTCTCTAACACTCAATCATCCTTATCAAGTGAAGGTAATTTATGAGTATCCCCATCAAACATATCGCCCCTAATATTCGCACCAATATGTTTACTAACCGTTTATTTTTATTTAACAGATGCTGTGGCCATAGCATCACAAATCCAGTCAATGCACGTTGCTCAGCAACAAAATCGCCCATTGCCTCGTTATCCCCAGTCATTGGACGAACTTTTAAATAATACATCAGATTCCAAAATATTCCTAATGCAGGTAAGTTAACATAACAATTGCCATTTTCTCTAATTAATAAAGTGTTTCCTTCCAGCTGCCGGATACTTTACCATGTGTAGATGATGACAATGATTCACCAGAGATAACAAAATCTCCTAATGAAGATCCTAAAGCACCTGCACCCGCCATTGAAAATCAGAAAAAAACTGTCAAAGAACATATTCTTAAGAAAATGGAAGAGGGTCAAGTGGGGCGTTTGATACGCTATAAATCCGGTAAAACGAAACTAGTTTTAGGAGAAACACAATTTGACTTGGACATTGGCATGGAAACTGGTTTTCTACAGGTATTATTCCAGAAAAATATTGCATATATTCAGAACATTTTTAATTTTCATTTGGTTGCAGGATTTAATGTCAATCAGCTGTAATCGAGAGGAACGAAGCGGTAATATGATTAATTTAGGACCCATACAAGCCAAAATCACAGCCACTCCTGACTGGGAACATTTACTAAAACAGCCTCTATCGGATGGTAAACTATAGCACATGCTATCTGTATGTTGTGCTCTTATTGGCATGTTTATTTGTTTCCTTAAACAATTCGTCGTGTATATAAAAACGAAAATACGTTTTAGTAATGATTTTTGTTATTGGCCTTTTATAGCATGTTTCCATTGGAAACCGAACAACGTTGTTCGCTCTCAGAATTAAGTACACGAATTAACCCGTTCATACGGCACGATTCGTAATTCATAGTAAAATAATTCCTTTTTTCAAAAATTTTGTTTCTTGATTTTAATGGGAATTTATACTAAAATACATTAAATTCTCACTAATATGAATAAAAGAAATGATTGTTTATCTCCCAAATATGTATTATATCAATAATTTTATAATTTTCATTCACGTTTTCAACTTTTTGTGTAAATCTTGACATTTTGAACATATTTTTGTGTTTTTCCATTTTTAAATTCTACTGGAGAGACACTTGTCAAACATTTTTTCTGCCAATAGAAACATTTTGAAAATATTGCCTCTTTTGTTTGCAGTTTTCTGTGGAAATTTCATCTCGTGGACCAAATGCGTACTTCGAATGAAAGAGAAAACAAAATTTACTTTCGTTTGAATGTACATACGCCATTCAACATTGTAGTTTTCATACATAATTTTCAGTCTTCCCAAAAATTTTTAAATTTTCATTAAATTTTTCTATTTTTAATTTTAAATGTCATAATTTATTTTTTCGATAAATGCTCTCATTTGTTAGGGATGGGACATATTTTTTCGTTGTTCTGAGAGTGATTTGAATTGAACAACGTACAAATATGAGTGTTCGCTCAGGAAATTTTGTGTGAAGAATTAGGTAGTTTTTTCATAGTTAAGGGTCAAACAACGAATAGAGAGCGAATCAAGTGCAGTGGAAACGCCACATTATTCTAAAGAGCTCTGAAATTATTCTGCATTTTTCCACATCATCTTCAAAAGAAAAATAAAACAAATGATTAGCTATGTTAGAGACTCCACTGATGTAACAATAAAAATACAGCTGAGACTTAAAATAAACCTTTAGTTTTGGGCTTCAATGCGTTCTTCTGTAGACTCTAAAAGGTTTTGATTTCCACCGCCAGTGGTATTTCCGGGAGTTGTTGAACGGCCGTGATACAGATTACCTTGCAAATCTATGGAGAAATTATAATCGATAGGATTTGCCAAGGCCTGTTCGATGGCAGCATCTAGATTTTCTCGGGTAATGAATGTCTTGGAAAGTTCCTAGAGTGTGAGGATAAATTTAGTTTAATAATTGCTCTACAAAATTGTTGAACCAGTCTTCAACTGTTTTACCTTTTCTTTCCTCACTAAAGCTTCAATCTTTTCCATTCTTTCCTCTTCTCTTTCTTCGGCCAGTCTTAATCTTTCTTGTACATATTGCTGCTTTTCTTGGTGCTCCCTGGCCAAACGTTGCTCACGCAGAGCAGCTACTTCTCTATTCCATTTCTCATTCTCTTGCAAGCAACGTTGGAATTCTGCTTCTTCCTGCTCAGGAGTCAAAACGAAATGATCTGCTGAGGATGTTTCGGCAATGCGTTGATTCTCCTCCCTCAAATACTGTCTTACGGAACGTAATTGTGTTCTAAAAATAATAACAAGGGGAAGTTATTGGGTCAAATCGTTATTTAGCTGAACATATCGAGATAAATTACTTGTAATTGTTGTGAAGACGTAAAAGTTCTGCCTTTTCTTCGGGCGATTGTTGTTTTCTTTCCGGCACACGAAACAATTTACTTTTGGCCGTAGGCAACCAACGGGGCTTGCGTCTCCAACGGACAAATTCCAATGAGAATCCGGAACTACCTACTTTGCCTTCCGTAGCGAGACGGCTAAGTATTCCAGACGAGGCCCTTAACATATTGATATATACTTAGCCAAGGAACCAAGGAAGAGATGCACGCACGTTGAGGAGACGAGTTTGTCGGTGTTACGCGATTTTAGGGACATGTAGATCGACTTTAGAGCATCAAGAGATTTGATTTTGTAAATGTGATGGGAAAGCAGAACAAAGGCCTTGCATTATGTGTTTCGACCGATAAGGCCGATATGCAAATGTAACTTTTCATGCGTTGAACTGATGTGAAGTTTATTCTGAATTTTAGTGAAGCATAGAGTGTTGTGCCAGTATAAATTTTAAATACGAAATAGAAATGTATTTAAATAGTGAACACTATTACCATCCGTAACGATATTGACGACATATATCGTATAAAACTCCCAGCTGTGTTGGTCATCGTTTTAGGGATGTATAGTTGATAAGTCAAAAGTCGATAAATGAATTAGTCAAAAGTCGGACTGTATAACACTAGTTTGTTTACCATCCTATCTGTCATCTATTTTGCAAATTCGAAAAAATACAAAAGATATACGCGTATTAAAACGTAAACCAATTATACATTAATTTTTTATTACACAATTTTTGCATAAATTATTAACGTTATGTAAATCCAAAGCATTTATATACGAATACTACCAAACCAAGGCGTTGTCACAAAAAGAAACGCAAAGCAATTGTAGCAAAACAGGATTTGACCACGTATCTTTTTGGGAAAATCGAGAGGGGCATGGAAAAACTTGCTTAACAACATTGCCAGCCAACACCTACACATCACAAAAATTGGTGCGGATTCAAATAAAAGCAGATATGGCCTCCTAAAATAAGACTGAAATACAAAAATGTTAAAACTCAAGGAGTTCTTGAAAGGATGTTGCTTGATTTTATGGCTTGTACTAAGTTCCATGCCACAATGCCATGGAACTCATGTACTGGCAGTTTTGCCAAGCGTTTGGAAATCTCATTACTTATTTGGTTATCATTTGCTGGAGCAAATGGTGCAACAAAGAAATTACTCAGTTACTTTGGTAAGCCCTTATAAAGGGGGTGGTCGTGAAAAAAGTTCCACAGAAATGGATGATCCCAGATTTAAGGAAATACAAATTGATGGATTGCTGGAGAATTGGACGGAGATGGGGCTGAGCTTTGACATTGAAGAAATGTACAGCAAATCTGTTTTGGAACATTTTACACGTTTGATGTATGCCACCACTAGTAACACAGATGCATTGTTACAAAGTCCAAAGGTGCGTGAGTTGCTGCATTCACAACAACAGTTCGACTTGCTAGTTGTGGATTTATTCTTAAGTGATGCTTTAATGGGGTGAGTAGAACTTCAAAGCTAACTTCACTATCTATGCATTTATTGATTTTTATTTTTTCTTAACCCACAGATTATCGTTTTTCTATCAAATACCTACTGTAGTAATAAGTCCAAGTGGCTCCAACACTTGGCTCAATCAACGTTTCGGCAATTCTCAAAATGCCGCCTTAGATCCTAGTAATTTTCTCGCCTACTCAAAACACATGACCCTATGGCAACGTAGTGTAAACACGTTAATGGTTATGTTTGAGAAGTTAACTTATTCCTTTTTCCATATGATCTCTCAACAAGTTGTCTACACAAAACACTTTGAACCTCTTTGCCAAAACTCCCCCTGGTGTTATTCTTTACCCGACCACAAGGACCTCATTCAAAACCTATCATTAGCTTTAATCAATACACATCCTGTTCTACAATATCCTAGAGCATTTTTGCCCAATATGTTAACTATAGCTGGAGTCCATCTCAAAAATGATAATGACAATGAGCTTGTTTTACCCACGGTAAGTAATGCGAACACAAATTAGAGAATCTTGGAATTTATCGTTTCTATTTACAGCATTTGAAGGAATTTATTGAAGAAGCTGTCCAGGGGGTGGTCTATATTAGCTTTGGAGCCAATGTTTATGACTTTCCCCAGGAAAAAATAGAGTTGTTTTTAGATGTCTTTGAAACACTGCCCAATATGCGTTTTATTGTCAAATACGATGAAGACGAGCCTTTGGAAATGACTTTGAATGTAAGCAGCAAAGTTATGGTACAAAACTGGTGGCCCCAACAAGCTATACTGGGTAAGTATTCCAAACAAATATCTTAAAAATTGAAATTAGTTTTGCTCTTTTAGCTCACAATAATGTTAAGCTGTTTATAAGTTCCTGCGGCTTTATGAGTGTAACTGAAGCAATAAATTTTGTCAAACCTATTTTGGCTATACCCATAACACCAGAGCAACATGTCCTGGCTAGAAACCTACAAGAACAAGGTTCAGCCTTTATATTAAATTATAATGATCTATCCTATGATCAACTTTTGTTTGCTATAAACGAAACATTGACCAACACCAAGAAATACCACGACTCGTTGTCGGTACTTAAATCTCAACTCACCGAAGATATACTGGGATTGAAACCAATGGATAAAGTTATAAATGCAATTGAAATGACACTCACGACCAAAGGCCTGAAATATCTGAAAACACATTCTCACCATCTGAATTTCTGGAGTTCAATACTTATGGATGTCATGCTTATTTTGCTATTTGGCCTGTTGGCTATTTTGGCCATTCCCTTCCTTTTGACCAGTTGCATTTTGCGTAAATCCTATCAAAATCAATCGACGACCAACCTTACCATGTTAAAAAATCAAATACGTTATCAGCGCCAGGTAAATGATTTCCTCAGCAATTGCTCTAATCCGAAGCATAGACATGCAAATGAAAGTGGTGAAGACTTGTCTTTAAAAACGGTGCGTCGTTCATCTTCAAACTCGGATTTGCAGCGTAAGCGTTTATCCTCAGCTTGTTCACATAGTTCCTCATGTTTTTATTGCTCTTCGGGTTCATCGTCAGCACCGGGCACACCTTTAACACGAGAATCGCCCTCCTTCAGCAAATCACTGGAATCAAATGACACTCAATAAGTAGAATTTTTTGAAAAAAAAGAAAAACATATGAGATATATAATAATATGGAACTGTAGTCTACATACATCTACGAGTATATACTGTATAGGGTATAAGTGAGATACGTTTGTATTGATTTATTTTATATGTAATTGTTGTTTTATTAATATTTGTGTGTTTTAGACTAAGAAAAAAAGAGAACGATATCAATCACATTTTTAACGAATTTATGGTCAAATTCATAGATATACAAAAATATGTAAGATTCTTGTATATAAAAATATAATGGAACCTTAATATTAAATGCTGGATTTTTGCAATTGATATGTTTACTTTTTCGGCATCACATGGTTTTAGTCTATATAGATGTTATTGTTTATATTTTAACTAACTTTATAATTACTCAAAATTATTAATATTTGTTATCATCTGTGTATTTATTATAATATTAGATGTAAAAACTAACTTTAATCAAAATTGATATAAACAACTCTATATTGGTTTTAAAGTCATATATTGGTTGATTTCTTTTTCTTGTCGAATTAAGTGAATAGATAACCTTATTAAGCGTTGATTCACATTTCGAAAGAAATCAGTTGTTACATGTTGCCAGAGTCTTTTTATCACAATGATAAACTTATTCTTGGCTAGACGTAGTATAAGCGTGGATTGTCTAAATTACTGTAATAGGAATTACTTTAACCGGGAAGAATGACAGAGGAAACTAGTATATATCAACATATGAAAAGCTGATAATCATGCTGCTATTCTTCACTCGTATGTGAATTTTTTCGGGCACGGAACGGTTTTTTTTTTTTTTTTTTTTTTGGTTTTAATTGATTGTTGGATAGGTACCCGTAGTACCTATGTACCAAGACTGGTTATTTTAGTTCGGTTAGTGAATATTGGATAGTGAATCACCAGAAAGGTTCACTTTGTGAATATATGTGTATTTGATTGCAATGTTGATTGAAGATAGTGAGTTTTTACAATTCCAAATGAGCTGCATGAATGAAATTATAAAGTTCCGTGATGATACTTCTGGTGAGGTTTTTGAGAAGATCAGGTAAGTTGTTGAAGTTATTAAAAAAATTGAAGCCACTTCTCAAGTGGTCATATTTTTTGCATGTAAATATAGAATGGTTTTCGCTTTCAGGTACGCTGCAAAATGAGCACAGATTGGTGTTTGTCACTTTTATTTGGTACAGGTATATTTTTGAGTATGTGTGACCAGAC